AGGAATGAAGGTGTGGCTGCTTCTTCAAGTAGTCCGTTCTGGCCTACAGACCTTCTTAAGTTACAGTGAGTGTATAAACACTATATATAGCTAGTGTAAACTGCCTGTGGCCTACTCTTCCCTAGTAAAAGTGTTCTGTTTTTGCCTTTCCTGATTGCTATGTGCAAATCTTTGTTTTAAGGAAAAAGTCTTGTTGCTCTACTTTAGACTTTGCTGTAATACATTTATTTTATTAGTCTACCCAGTACAGCATGGACCATTTCTCAGGGATGCATAACTGGTACGCCTGCTCACATGCTCGGCCAACATACTGCAATGTGTGTCGGGAGGCATTATCTGGAGTCACATCACATGGGCTCTCCTGTGAAGGTAAGCACACATCTCCTCTTTTGCGAGCGCTGTCTTTATAGCTCAGTACCATGTTCAGAGATAATTTAAGAGGACTGTTGTTAACAGTCTGCAAAAAGGTGTAGAAGAATGCTGCATAATAAACTTGAGAGAGCTGCAGGCTGTGTATGAGACTGGAGGTCTTTTCTAGACCTGATGCTGAAGCCTTTGCTGCTGAATCCCTTTGGCTTCATAAAGAATTTTCCTGCAGAAGTCAAGATCAGGATCTTGGCGTTTTGTAAAAGGATAATAGATGTGATGATGTTTTCATTCTGGTTTTAGTGTTGGACCTGATAGTGATACAGCTGATTTTTTTTTTTTTCCCATATACCCAAATACTGCCATCCCTTATTAAAGTCATGCTTCTGAAGTGAACAGGTATGTACTTCTGAGGTATCAGAATATTCCTAAGAATACTTTTGGTGATAAGAATAACCATATTTGTAAGAACATCCTCGTTAAGTGTTTGAATGCCAGGAGGTTATTCTTTTTCAGCTTTGGGATAGCAGACATGCCTGGCTGCGTAAAGCTCATACTTGTAGCATGAATGAAGTTGCACCCACATTGTGTAAAAGGATGCAGGAGTGTATGACTATGTAAATCATGTCAAATTTAACAAGGTGATAACTAAGCTTTATATGAGCAACTGGCAAAAGTGACAAGGCAAGAACTAATAGCTAGCTCATCTTATTCAGTACGCTTAGAGCTGATAGTTTTGGCAGTACTAACAAGGGTAGTATGTGCCCATGCTTTCTTCTGGAGCCAAGTATGGTCACTTGGGGAGGCTTTTGCACAGACCGCCACATTACACGTTCTGAGGCGGGATTCATATGTTCTTCTCTTCTTCTCTAGTGTGCAAGTTTAAAGCCCACAAGCGGTGTGCTGTGCGGGCAACCAATAATTGCAAGTGGACAACTCTGGCCTCTATCGGGAAGGATATCATTGAGGATGAAGATGGGGTAGGCGTTAGTCTTGACTCTTCTAGTCTTATCTTAATATGGAAGCACTGGCATGTGCTCTACAGCTTTCTTCACTGTACAAATAGCAGATTCTACCTTTATGTGTTAGCGATGTGGGAAAGGCATTTACTGTCACAGCATGAGATTCTGTGTGAAAAGTCCAACCAGGGTAGCAAGAGCTCCTTAATAGGAAGAGACTCCTGCTATGGACCAAGGGAGTTGAGGTTAAATAATTGGAGGCATGGTGAACCTGGTCTGAGTTTTGGCAAAAGGAAAAATAAATGAGTGGTTGGAACAGTATGTTAGCTTATGGGTTGTCTGATGCAAGTCAGTGTTTCCTGGATAGCCTGGGGCAAGTCACCTGGCCTCTTTGTGCCCAAGTGTGATGTAAAATGCGAAAAGAGGTCCTCAGGTGTTTTTTAGAAATTGCCTTTGCTGTCCTTAAACAATGCATGTAAAGGCTTACCTGTCTGTATGTCTCAGTGCCACAGTGCATCCCGCGCCCTTGAGTTGCGCTCTGGAAAGTCCATATTGCTTCTCTCCCTCTGTACCATTTGCAGATCTCGATGCCACATCAGTGGTTGGAGGGAAACCTGCCTGTGAGTGCCAAATGCACTGTGTGTGATAAAACCTGTGGCAGTGTCCTACGTTTGCAAGACTGGCGCTGCCTTTGGTGCAAAGCCATGGTGAGTTGAATAAACATGATCGTTTCAGTAAAAGGATAGTCCCTGATCAGTTCTTTGGTGTGTTCTTTGAATGACATTTACTTAAAATGAAATCTCTAACCATTCTGTCAGTGTTTAGAATCATAGAATCATTTGGGCTGGAAGGGACCTTTAGAGGTCATCTAGTCCAACCTCCCTGCAGTGAGCAGGGACTTCTCCAACTAGATAAGGTTGCTCAGAGCCCCATCCAGCCTGACCTTGAATGCCTCCAGGGATGGGGCTTCCACCACCTCTCTGGGCAACCTGTTCCAGTGCTTCAGCACCCTCATTGTAAACAATTTTTTCCTTATGTCAAGTCTAAATCTACCCTCTTTTAGTTTAAAACCATTACCCCTTGTTCTATCACAGCAGACCCTGCTAAAAAGTCTGTCCCCATCTCTCATATAGGCCCCCTTCAGGTATTGGAAGGCTGCAATGAGGTCACCTCGAAGCCTCCTCTTCTCCAGGCTGAACAACCCCAACTCTCTCAGCCTGTCCTCATAGGAGAGGTGCTCCATGAAGAACTTTATTGTTCTTTCTCCAGATGATAAACGGCCTGCAAGAGATAGAAATTTAAATTTGTGCTGAAAAGTATCACTGTGATGCATAAAAGTGAGACCTGAAACAAGTATCTGGCTTCTCTTCAAGCTCATTTTCTTTTGATGGTGAGCTTTCATAGAAGAATCTAATTACGCTAGGTATGAATCAATGCCGCCGGCATGGGAGATGTTGGTTTTAAGGGGCCATTATTTGTCATTTCTACAAGTTGAAAAGGTCCAGCAAAAAAAGAACAATAAAGAATACTAAGCTATTTTAATAATAGCAATTTCCCTTCCCATTGCAATAGGTTTCTCTTGCCTAACCACTGCAATGATGCAGATCTTGCTATGTTTCCAGCTGTCTATAATATTAATAAGAGAAATACCACAAAATCTGTGTTTGTAATGTGGGGAATGGGGACTCAAACTCCAAGCGAATGCTCTACCTTGCAGTCTTCATGTACCAGAAATGACTGAAGTGCCCTACTCTACTTTGTATTTCCTTTTTTGGGGTAACTTTATTAATCCCTTCTTCTCTTACCTCTTATGTCCTTCGTGTCTTCTTGCTTTGTTTTTTGCTTTCTTGTTTTCTTGAGTTCCCAGCTTTTTCTTTTGTTGCTACTTTTCATCTCTCAACTGAGGCTGGGATTTTGAAAGCAGAATGCCTAAGGGCTCTTAAAGCCGCAGAATCTGTTATCTGGTCCTCTCAGCACTCAGAGTGCTAGTCTCACAAATTCAAATAGTAGAAAAAGTACATACTAATGGAAAGAGCAGAATTAGTAGAAGACTCGGATTAGATAATTCTTAAAATAACTTGATCAATTGACATTTCCTTGGATTTGCTTCTTCTTCCTGTCTTACTCTTCCTTTACAACCTCTTGTTGGGTGGCTTTATGAATTATACCACAGTGCCCAGAAGGGTCTGAATGGTTTGGTTTTGTTTTTTTTTTAATTGTGGTTTCAGGTACACACAGCATGTAAAGAGTTGTTACCAAACAAGTGCCCTCTTGGGCTGTGCAAAGTATCTGTCATTCCTCCTACTGCTCTTAACAGCATTGATTCAGACGGTAAGTATTGCTAGTAAGTAGTGCCTTCTTTCTCTTCCTTTCAGTCACAGTCCCTTCAGCTAACACTATTAATGCCAGACTCTTGGCAACTGAGAATTCTGCTTTTGGTGTTGCTGAAATTCCAAACTGGAAGGCAGCGCTGAAGTGTGGCAGTGAACTGTTTGCTTTGCTTTTGCATTCGGTTTATTACCCTGTAACGTCAGTATTTGCTGAGCTGCAGCTGTTAAAATTTATTGACAACAACTGTATTGCAGAAGCGGTTTGGGAAGATTGGGGAAGCTGAAAATTTTGGCATGCTGCTAGGAGATAAGTGTGACACTTGGCAGCATGAGGTGTGGTTCATACTGGATGCAGGGCTGTGGACATTTGGCGTTTACCCAGTGAGTGCCATAAGCACAAGGAGAGCGTTAGCTTCTTTGTAGCTGTTCTGGGGTGTGGGGTGTTGTGTTTTTTCTCACTCCATCTCCATGGGCAGCTTCACGTCTCTTGGCTTTTCTTCCCTCTCCCTTCCATTTTCCCCAACAGGTTTCTGGAAAGCTACTTGTCCCCCTTCTTGCACAAGCCCTTTGTTGGTCTTTGTCAACTCAAAAAGTGGAGACAACCAAGGCGTAAAATTTCTGCGAAGATTCAAACAGCTACTGAATCCAGCCCAGGTCTTTGACCTCATGAATGGAGGACCTCACCTTGGGTAAGCAGATATTCTATGGAAGCACACATTCCTTGTAAATAGCTGTCCCAGTTTTGCTAAAACAGGACTATTTTCTCCTTTCGGTAGATTTTCTTTCAGTTACGGCCCAGCCTTAAACGGTGACAATACCAGAAAAATATGAGTGATTTATTTGGTTATAAGCTTATCCACAAATATTACAAAGAATCCAGTTCCTTGGAGAAGACTGAACACGTATGAAGTTTGGAGGGGTTTTCCTCTCTCTATGTTTAATGTTATTGATTAGCTAAAACCAAAAATGTTGTTGGAAAAAGTTATTATTTCCATTCATCGGTAACAGCAGGACAGCTTGAGGGGTTTTGGGAGAATTCCAGAAACATTTCCCTGGAAGAAAACCAAACATGGAAAGCTTGAATCCAGAAGATGACTTGTCAGCAAACAGACTTGTTACAGGCATCATGATGTACTGTTAACGAGAGTTAACTTCAGTTAAATCGGGTGAACAGACAAATGTCATAGATAGCAAATGAATATTGTCAAAATGAGATTTATCCACAAATAACTTACCTGGGAAGTATGTGAAACTTCCATCCCTCAAAGAACTTATGGTGATACTGGAAAACCATCCCTTAGGAGTGCTTTTGGTGAAGTTGGTTCTGCCCTGGGATCTAGATGACATTTCAGGCTTGTTTACCAGATTACACTGGAATATCTATGGACAAAAAAAAAAGTGAGTGCTATGGAATCAGTTCCTTTCATGCGTTTCTGCAGCTCTGTTTAAAACAAAAAGTTTGATCTCCATTTACCCTCTTCCAAATGTTTATCGGTTACATCGTATTTAAGTAGAATAGATGCTTCTTATAATAAGAACCAATACAAGGTGAATTTCCTTCATATTTTTCTAAAAGTGTCTCAAAGTCTGTGACTCAGACTGTAGATGCAGGGTGCTAAATCTGGGAGTGTCCACTCCTGGATGAGTGACCATTAGGTTCTGCTCTCCTGAGAAATATTGTGGTTTCTTGCCGTAGTGTATTGCAAAACACTGGCCTTTAAAACTGCAGCATGCTGTCCAGGGGATGTGTTTGGCTGATAAATAATTTACAGAAAACTTTTAAAGTTAAATATTTTTCCTCTTCCCCTCCCCAGTTGGGCTGACTCTAGAGAGGAATTTTGCTTTTAAGCAGGACAGAAGGGAAGGGAGGGAATCAATTATTTTCTCAAGCTGTGGTGCACACTTCTGAAACAACTGGTCTTGCATGCTTTCTTAAAAAGGAAATGATGGTACAGGGTAAAGGCTGCTTCTTGGGAATTTAAATATTCTCAGCTGGTGCCAGTGAAACTCCACCATAAGATATTGTTGTTTCCGATAGCTATTTTTTATGTGTCAGCAGTGCTTGAAGAAATAAAGATTTTCGTGTCCTACAGCAAATCCTGTTTAGGTAATAATAATTAAAAAAAATATGTACAAAACCAAAATAGAAGCAGGCAGTAGTTCTCGAAGATGTTCAGTAAGAAGCATGGTTTCAAACAATTTAAGGAGAAGTTGTTTCTCACATTCTGGAAGAGCGAATAGAGAAATTCACACTTGTCTTGCTGGTGAGTTGTTTGCCTGCCTGCAGGACAGACAAGGCGCCAGAGCTTTGATTTATGTTGCTTTCCCAGAGGGACTAAAGCTTGTGAGGCTTTACATCCTCTTACAGTTGTCTGCTTACTGAATGACTGCATAAAGTTCCCATTCTTCAAACTTTGCTTTAATTGGTGTGGCCTTGAGTGCGAAGGCACTGACATCAGAGCGCTCCAAACAGTGACAAATAACTAGTGTTAGGCTGAACACAGCAAATCTGCAAAAAGGAATTAATTCAACGGATAATCAGCTATCACATGCTTGTTTCCTCTTCTATTCAGATGGAAGTGCCCTGCTTTAGTAGAGGAGTATGTCTGGGACACATTTCTGTAGTGAAGAGCCGTTGTAAATTGCTTAGCTGTATTTGTAATTCCTTATTTATAATCATTTTAATTCATCTGTAATCTGACAGTGGCCCATATTCATTGCGAAATCAGAGCCTACTTTAAGCAAATCTGCCATGTTTATTACCCAGCTTGGAATTGTTTATCATTTCTTTCTGTAACAGCTGATTATTCTTCCCTCTTGCTTTTTTCTTTCCCTTTTCCGTAGTTTACGCTTATTCCAGAAATTTGACACTTTCCGGATTCTAGTTTGCGGTGGGGACGGAAGTGTTGGCTGGGTTCTCTCCGAAATTGATAGCCTCAATCTTCACAAGCAGGTACCTGCCCAAAGAACTTGGTTGGATGAAAGAATGAAGTGATAACAGCATGGGTTGAAGAGTACTTTCTCTGATCATACAGATGTAGTTTGCCCCAGGACCGAAGCTGCCGAAAGCTTGCCACAGCAGTGTTCTTGCAGTAGTTTTCTGCAAGAAGCAGTACTGGATTAATTCATTATTCCTGTCTCCAGTGCTCCTCCACAACTCCCTCTTACAAGATCCAGCTTTTGGAGTAGCTCTGAGTTATTCCTGCTCCTCTGCCAGCAAAGATCTATACTCAGAAAGGACTGCAGTTAGAAACTCCTTGTGGGAGTTCCACAAGGGCTACACTCCTCATTTATTCCCTTAATTCTCGTGGTGTAGTTTCTGAGTCTTGGGATAGACAGAAACTTCAGTGGAGTCGAGGTATCATACAGTGTGCAATTAGTTTCCATTTTGTCTTGGAGAGGTCTCTGCTAATTTTACAGAACAAGCAATAGCACCACCTGATGGTTACGTAAGTGCAGCCGTAGAAGGGGTTACTTTTTAGCAAGGTGCTGCTCGACGTAGTAGCTGTAATACGCTCCTCTTTAATTAACAACTTAAAACTGGAGGAAATTTTTCCTTACTTGCATGCTCTTCTGGCTGTTTTCCCCATCCAGTTACTTTCTCCTCACCCTGGGACTAGCTGTTTCTCAATGACTGGTCTGTGTAAAGAATCAGTCATGTTACTTGTGGCTGTTTGTGGCTTTTGTTTTTCCATTTGGATATCAGTTTTGGTTTCCTTTTCTCTGATGCAGTGCCAACTGGGAGTGCTGCCCTTGGGAACAGGGAATGACCTTGCCCGTGTGTTAGGCTGGGGGTCTGCTTGTGACGATGATACCCAGCTCCCGCAGATCCTGGAGAAGCTGGAGAGAGCCAGTACCAAAATGCTGGACAGGTGGGTAACCATCACTAACATCCTCCCCTGCTCAGGAGTTCTGTAAAAATAGCCTTCCAGGAGAAATGGGCGGTTCTTGATTCTGCCCAGCTCCTGGACTTCTTACTAATGCCAGTTAATGTGTTTTTTTTCTTTGATAATCCTCTGTCACCCTTTAGCAACAAAAGGTAGTCTGGCTTTCTGTGTCACTGCTACAGAATAGTAGTGAGTGAAATTGTCTGATGTCCAGTGTCCCCTCTTGTCAATTAAATTTGTCAGCATTACAGTCATGATTTATCTTTTTAAGCTAATTTTTTTCTTGGTAAATTTGAACCGATTTATCTTATGTTTGGCTTAGAAATGAAAGCTGAATGTGGAAATTGCCATCTTTACCCCTAGTATTGATATCGCCCATGTATCTTTGTACATTTAAAAATGCTCTTGTCTTTAGAGTTGCATCTTGGCATCTGTTACGTTGAGTCAAGTAATGCCCATAGAATTTCTGTGAGAGAGGGGAGAAGTACAGAGAAGTTCCTCATGCTGTACGATACTTGTTCATAGTGTCATCCTTCCCAGTTCAGCCCCTCTGCAGTTCCATTGCAACTCTGTGGCTTCCTTACATCAGTCATGCCCCTGCCAAAGTACAATTTGTTCTGCTTTGAGGTTCTAACCTGTTATGTCCGTTGGATGAAGGAGGAAATCGTCTGCCTTGTAGTGACAAGTATGATGCCTCCTTTTCAACAGGTGGAGCATCATGGTGTACGAAACCAAACTCCCTCGCCAGGCCTCCACTTCCACAGTCACTGAAGATTTCAGTGAGGATTCTGAGGTACCTTGTGAGATGCAGAGGGCAGGGGATTGGGAGCAACAACCTCAGAACGGACGAGATAGGAGGCAGTGATTGAGCTCAAATGGAGCAAGCCCGAACCGTGACTTGGGTGTAGCAGGAGCTACAAAGATCTGGGGGCTTTAAGTCAATGAAGTATTACGGAGGAGGATGGAGGTTAGGTTACCAGAGTCAACAATCATAAAGAGGGATGAAAAGAAGATGCTTTGTAACAGGACAGAGAGGAAATGATTGACTTTTATGTGCTGTCATGACATCAAGTTGTTGAAATTGTGGAAGGCTGCATAACAGTCATAAAAAACCAGTTTTAGATCCACAGTTGATCAGAGACTCTAAGAACTGCGCTGCTGATGATTTCTAGGTTCAGAATTAGTTTCTTCATCAGATTCAGGTCTTCACTGAGTAACTGAGCCCTGGGCCGCAGAACTTTCCCAGGGCAAAAAGAACCTGTAGAATGACAGGTACTCTCTGGGGAGCCAACATATACATAGCCAACATATACAGAGCATGTGTTGTAATGTTGGGAAGCAGCACCCCAGTGGCTTGTTTCTGACTGTCACCAGGTGCAGAAGATTCTCTTCTATGAAGACTCAGTGGCTGCTCATTTGTCCAAAATTTTGACTTCTGACCAACACTCAGTGGTCATCTCCTCAGCTAAGTGAGTACTTAGAGGACAACTGCTCTAAGTGAAAGTTGCACTGCGAAGATCCTCAGACAATCCTTACACGACTTTGTTTTCACTACCTTCTTTGTCTAGGGTGCTTTGTGAGACAGTGAAGGATTTTGTGGCTCGAGGAAATATGAGAAGGCAACGGAAAGCTCAGAGGAATCGGAAGTCATGGCCAGGAAGGTAAAATTAGAAAAATTGTTTGGGTTTCTACTTCTGAAGTGGAAAACTGCTCTGTTTGCAAAGAACTAGGACAGCAGCAGTTCAGCAAGCACTAAACCAGTGAGCTACCCAATCTACTGTTAGTTCTACTTAAATGTTCTTCTTCACCTTGTAGTGCTCTGTCTTGAAGGAGAAGCTGGACTCGTTGCTGAAGACGCTGAATGATGAATCTCAAGCGTCTTCATCTCTGCCAAACCCTCCTCCCACCATCGCAGAGGAAACCGAAGATGGTGATGGGTCAGGCAGTGCTTGTGATTCTTCTAGCGACCGGTCGGTGGGCTCATCATGTACTGCACGGCCCCAGATATTTCGTCCCCGAGAACAGCTCATGTTGAGAGCAAACAGCTTGAAAAAAGCAATTCGTCAGATAATAGAGCATGCAGAAAAAGGTAACCTGTTAGGAGTCCTGCTTTTGACTTGTTTACAGGCTCTTGAGAAGTATAAATTTCCTTTATTCCAGAGGGGAGTAGGGTTCTTTATTAAAAACAGTGTTCCTGAGCTAGAGAGGCTATTCAGTAAGGCTGGCTGTTTCGTTTCAATATCATCTCTGCCAACCCCACCTGTTTGAAACATTGCTTGGTAAATGAGCCTGAAGTTCAAGGTGTGTTCTCTCCCACAGGGCTGGTTTAGGAAGTTACTACCCTCCCACACTCTGTTCGTTTGCATTTCCTGTCTGTCCCCACCCATACCGCAATTGTGTCAGCGCAACTGTTTGTGTGCCCTTGCTGTAAAACAGATCTGAAAACACTTGGGAAGAAAGTATTTTAAGTATTTTAACTTGGATCGTTTCAGAAATCTGTTTATAGTAGAGCCCAGCAAAACAGTGCAGTAGTACAACTGCAAGAGAGGGCAGGAACTTCTTAAACTGGCTTTGTCACTGGGAAAGTGTTAGAATACCGCACCTTCATGCAAATTATTTCTGCTCTGATGTTAACTTTCTAGGCAGGTGACCCTCTTCTCCACTTCTTAACATTTATCTCTCTCCAGCCGCTCACACCCATAGCTCAGATTTCAAAAGGCATCAGTCTCCCAGATGTTAGTCATAAACTCAGCGGTTTAACTTTGGCCAAGGAATTACAGCCTATTACTGGAGACTAAAAGCATTGAAGCTGCAGATGTGACGTCCATGCACACCTAAATGTGCACTGTGAACAGCCATGTAGTAAGTTACAGATCATTGCAATGTTGCTTGGATTTCCAGCACTGCAATACTATATACAACCTATGCTGAAGGTGAAGTTGTATGAGATGGTGGACATTGAGTAAACAGCCTGCTTCTCATGAAGTAGAGGTCTGGACCTCACTGCCGCCCCACTTGGCTGCTGCTTACCTTATGCCAATTTGATGTTTGCTGGAGTTCTTGCGGAGCCCAACCAATTTGCTTAATCCAGCAAGAAGAGTTTCTGTTTCTGCTGGGCTAGTGGGTTGGATTGCCTTGTGGATAGTTTTGATGAACTCCAGGGTCGGCAGAAGGGAGGGGAAGAGACTAAAAGAAAGGGGGCTCGTTCCCCTGCAGAGGCAGTGAGCTGGTAGATCAGCTCGAGGCGGTTCAGAGAGTGGTGCCCTGTGAGGGGTTGCTGGGGAGGAAGGCCTATTGATTACATGCAAAGGAAGTCTTGATTTCTTTAGGCAAAGTGCTAGCGTTTAATTCTTAACAGCTCTTGGGCAGACTCCAGTTACGTTTCAGATGTATTTGTTCAACTTCTCCAAACTCTTTTTCTTCTTCTGAAGTATGTAATCTGATTCTTTGTTTGTATGGTTTTTTACCAACTGCTATTTTCTTGCTCCTGACCGTATGTGTCTAAGTGCCCTTTTCAAGTGGCTTATCCTTTTGCCCCAGTACAGATTAAGCAAAGAGAAAATTCATTGAATTTATCACTTAATGTCAGTCTGGTTAGAATTTCTGGCAACATCTAAATGCAAATAAATGGAAGCCCATCACCTGTAGCACAGTTTATATCTCAGGAAGCCTGCGTACCTGTATGTAGCATTAAAGGTGGACACTTCTATTTAGAGCCTCACTGCTAAAGAGCTCAGCAAAGAAAATAGGAGGCTAAGCCAGCCCAGTTTCAAAAGCTCTCCAGAGCAGGGCTTAGTTGACAAATGATACAGGAAAGCTTTTTGTTATTCCTGTTCTTTCCTTTAAGGAATCAGGGCCTTTAGAGTCCCATCCTATTGCGATTTACATCAGTGGGAGGTGTTCCTTGCTAGAAGAGCTGTGAGGCACTCACCTACTTTCTCTCTCCTCACAGCTGTAGATGAACAGAATGCTCAGACCCAGGAGCAAGAGGGCTTCCTCCTTAGTCTCTCAGCCTCTGAAGAGGGCAAGGAGCTGAGGAACGAGGATAAAATCTCCCTGCAGTCATCACACAGCAGCAGCTATGGAGTGTCTAAAGGGAGGAGCCAGCAGAAAGGTACTGCTCTGGGGCTGCCACCGTGCAGATTTTGCCTGCGAATTACGATTCTGTTAGTTGTAAAAAGTGAGGGAGGCGTTACGTGTATTACCTTCCAAGTTCTGTTTTTGTCTAATTTTTGAATGATTGCTCTTCAGATGCCAGACCTCGCACATTTCTATGCATTTCTATGCCTGTGCATCGTACACCCCACTTTTTGCTACCTCTCTGATGACTGGTCCACGATCTTAGCATATGGAGCCTAGGATTCAGAAATTTTCTTGCACTTTAGCCAGTAATCTGGGTTCTCTTGGCTTTCAGTGCTTGGACAAGGACGGTCTTGAGCATTTTTCATGTCACCTACGTGATGACATTTCCCTGTAAGCCCCTGCCATCCTTTGCAGATGACAGAGAACAGAAGCCAGTTTGCTTTAATAACTGTGTTATGTGAGTAATTTGTTAGAGATCCCTGATCGCTACAAATATATTTGGAACTTATCTGAGTATTGATTGGGAGCCAAATACCCTGTCTGTTGTGCTGCTGGCACCAGCTTTTTCTCATCTCCGTTTCTAATATTTGCATGTGGCATTTTGGTACCTCCAATCTGTGAGGTTTTCTGGCTGCACATATGCCACATCTTTGTCTCTTCATGACTGGTTCTGTCAACTCTTTGTTTTATGGTGGCTAGAGTGTTTTGCTGTTGAGTGATTCCTAACCCAGTCTTGCTGCTTGTGCTGTGCTACTATGTGCTGGTCTGAATCACAACGTTATGTTTGTCAATAGCCATGTTTGTGTTGTGTCTTACAGCTTCCAAGTCTCCTTGCGAAAGACTAATAAACAAAGGAAATTTGTCACTGGGCAGCTCTGCATCTCTTCCTCCCCAGACAGGAAACCGGGACAACTTGCCAATGCTGAACACAAAAATCCTCTACCCAAGTAAGTGTAACACCCACCACTTCCCATTGAGGCAGCCAAGTGGAGTATGGGTGACAGCAGCGCAGGCTGCAGTCTCCACATGGAAATGTGAAATGTCCTGCCTGATGTCCTTTTGTGCAGGGTCCACTTGGAGAGAAATCCCTTTGTGGATAACTTTCCATTAGGGCTGAAAAATGGAGGGAACTGTAATAGTTTCCAGTTTGTAGCTGAGACGTAGACACAGATTTTTATTAACACTGTGCAGTGGCAGAATTTAGATGCCATTTACAAGGAGATAACTGAGCTCAAAGTAACCTTGAGAAGGCTGATACGATGCTGCTGAGAGAGGTTTCTGACGAGTGGCAGCCATAGACTGGGAGCAGCAGTCCCTTCATGTGAAGGCTGAGGTGACTGGAGGTGCACAGACCCAGCAGAATTGCCACCTCCCACACCTTCTGTAGCAACTTCGTGCTGTCCTTCCACCTCTTCCCCTGAATTACTGGTTCAAATTGTTTCTTCTGGAAGTAGGTAATTTCCTTTCTCTCTGACGAAGCTACTGTTTGTGGGTCACCAGCTAATAAGTTAAGAAGCAGGAGGCAGTAATTGTTGAGCAACTTGGAGAATAACTTCAGTCCTACTCCTCTGTCTCTGCTCGTTGAAGCAAGGATGTCGCATGTCTCACCCTGGAGCAAAAAAGCTACTGCAGTGAATACACTCCGATTTCACATTTCCATGTGTCTGCACAACTGTGCTGCTGGCCTTCGGTGATACCCTGTCTATCAAAAACCCTGCAGGCAGCCCCAGAAACCCTTCTCCTTATTGAGAGAGCTAAGCCTTCTAGAGTGGAAGAAAGCACTGTTGCTGTTTGCTTTCCATGGTGAATGACAAGAGTTAATATATTCTGCCCTCTCATCTTGTCTCTGAGATTGAAGTTACCTGTTTTCTGCTTCTCAATCACACTCTTGCCCACGCTCAATTTTGCTACAGATATCCGTGCTGGCATGTCTGGTTCATTGCCTGGGAGCTCTGTCATCAGCCGATTGTTGATCCATGCTGATCCCTTTAACTCTGAGCCTGAAAATCTGTGAGTATGCCCAGGATGTTGAAGGGAGGGAGTGGGTGTTTCCAAATGGACCTCAGCAGAGAAGGAGATTAGTTTATAAAGCTAAATAATGGACTGCAGCAGTCCAGCGTTACGTAAATGAATTAATATGCTGGGTGCCAGCGAGGATCAGCTTATGTAGTTATATATGTAGTGACGCATCTGACTTATGGTAGAAGATTTTTAGGTTTTAGGTGAGAATGGAATCTAAATCAGTCTTGTCCCTAGACTCAGAGATGACTCTGGCTTCCAGTTAGTAGACAGTAACCTGTCGGGGAACCGCTACCCTTACGACACGGAGGCTCAAGAAAGGTCATGGGCAGGCCAGAACAGGGGAGGCAGTTGGGAAATCTGATTTGAAGATGTTCTCAGGCTGTTTCTGCTAAACTATTTAACAGTAAAAATCCAGTGATACAGACTTTTAAGTTTTTTTCATGGGGTTCAGTGCCCGTGAGATGAGTAGCTGGCACTTCCAAGCTCGTTTGTCAGACTCTCTGTAGGTAACACCTAAAATATATATATATATATATAAAGGCAATTAGCATTGCTAATGTTTTGTGAGACCTTTTACACAATGTTAGTGACCAGCATCATAGCTCTTTGTAAATGAAGTGTAGGCTTCTGAGTGTGTTTCTGTGGCAAGAGGAGAATCCCTCTGCAAATCTTGCGGCTGTGAAGTGTTACAGACAGAGGCTGCAGGCCAGGGACCTCTGCTCATCAGTAGCTACTCTTATGGTATTCTTTATGGGTTTTAGGCAGTTCCCAGCGGTGCTTATTGGCATACAGTCTACTTGTTCTTCACCTTTTTACGCAAGAGAATTATCAGGTGGCCAGAGGGACATGTGAGATGTATACCAAATGGTATGTGGACTTATGAATGGGAGTTTTGTTCTTTTGTTCAACAGTGAATGTTACACAGAGAAGTGTGTCATGAATAATTACTTTGGAATTGGACTGGATGCAAAGATTTCTTTGGACTTCAACAACAAACGTGATGAGCACCCAGAGAAATGCAGGTGGGTTTGGGTTTGGCTGACCTTCAGATACTGCCAGAAGTGACTGAAACCACTGTATGGTTTTTTGTGGTTTTGAAGCCGATTGTGTACAAGTGTGCTGAATAGGTGTATTGTCAGTTTTGTCTGCATAATCCTCCTTCAAGGCTTGAAATCATGATGGAGGAGTTAAGTTACTGATTTATTACTGATTCATTATGCTGTTGTGGCTAGTATAAGATCTCTTGAGTAGCTATGCTGGTGTGGATTTAGAGCATGGGTTCTATTTACTTCACGATCTCGCTCACAGATTTTTCACCTTGCCTTGCTATTTAGCTATGAGAGGAGCACATCTCAGCTCTAAATGCCACGGAGGCTGATTTCAGCCTTGATCCTAACTTAGTACAAACCACAGATTTTTGGCTTTTTGAATACCTGCAACTACAGGATTCTTTGTGTAGCCTGGGATTGGTACATTTGCTATACTTGAGCTAATATGGGAAAACTCTGTTGGTGTCCTGGTGCACAAGATTGACAAGTTCTGTGCCAGGAGAATCTGTGTATGTTTCTGGTAGTGTGTGTTACTCGGTCATCCTTAGTTCCTACTTGACATTTATTTGAAGGGCAGTAGTTTCCTAGCATGAGCGGTGACCATTTTGAGTGCTTGACCCTTTTAGAAGCAAAGCACCTTTGTGTTTTAGGATGTAGGAGGGACCATTTCAATGTGGGTTTTTTTTTTCTTCTAAGTGAAAAGGTAAATGCCTATGCTAAATTTCTCTTTTGATTTACCACCTTAGAAGTCGTACTAAAAACATGATGTGGTACGGAGTATTGGGGACCAAGGAGCTGCTACACAGAACATATAAAAACCTGGAGCAGAAAGTCTTGCTGGAGGTGAGAAATTAGTATGCCCTTCTGTTCCTAAATTGGGGAAACCTAATTACGTCTCCTTCAGACACTTTGAGTTTGGTGTGGTGATTCTACTTGGTGACATGAGGGTGTTTCCCTTGCCTGTCTGATACAAGGTACTTGCTGTATCTCACCTTGAGCGAGCTAAAAGTGGCTTTTCCTGGTTCTGGAAGATAACTTCGGTTCTCTGCCCATAAGGGAAGTGTGATCCTGCTGGAAAGTATTAGCTGTCCCCAGCTCAGTATTCAGCATAGATAAGATTGTTATGTTATATGTGATGTCTCAAGTGAACACATCATTTTAGATAGTAGGTGCAGTGGAAAGCTCTTAATTTAACTATGCGATCATGTGCATCAAACTAGAAAATAAATATTCTTGTACAGGCCGTGTGCAGCATAAACAGGTAGCTTGCCGGAGGACACCCTCATCGCAGCAGACTGCATAGGTGTTCTGGAAGTTTCATTCCTGTTTCTGGAGGAATAAACCAAGAGGCTTTGCCAAACCTCTCAGGCGTGCCCTATTCCTGTTTGGGGAAAAGAAGCAACAGTATCTCTCTAAAATTCACGTCTACCAAAAGAGATGTGGTTCATGAGATGTGAGTGGATATGTTCTACTCTGCTAGGCCAAGAAGAAACTGGAAGAAACCTGAATTAATTTATTACTAAGCTGTGTAGGCTGTTTTCTGTTCTTAGAGCATGTGCTCTGGCAGGAGGGACTCTCTCCTGCTGTGCTGAGAGTAAGGTTGTCACCTTTTCTGTGCAGTGTGATGGGAGGCCGATCCCTTTGCCCAGTCTCCAGGGAATTGCTGTACTCAACATTCCCAGCTACGCAGGAGGCACTAACTTCTGGGGGGGAACCAAGGAAGATGACGTAAGTATTCTCTAAGACAATCCAGGAAATGATTCTATTTACTGTTGCTTTTGAAATCATAGCCCCTGAGAATAGTGCTTGGAAGAAGAGGGCAAGGGACCTGTCTGCGTACACTTTCTATGTGAAGTGGATAAGATACTGAAATCTGATCTTCAGCAGCTTCACAGCCAAGCAGTCTGTAATGATTCAGAAAAAAAATAAATAACCAAACAGACCATTTGGACTTCCAGGAAGTGCTTTAGATTGACCTTGTCCTCTCAGACTGCCTGAGAAGTAAAGCCCCTTGAAGGCAAAGGGAATTAGATCCAGTCAGAAGCATTGTATTGTTTGAGATTAAAAAGTGCCTACTCTCATAAGAACAATTATTACCTTGTGGCCTACAGCCTTTGTGTTTGAATTATATTCTAGCTGCCTTTGGAAGCACAGTAGGAATATCGAGGCTTCTTTTTCCCCCTCCTAGCTCACTGCAGATCTTCTAGCCTCGTTAGTTTTATACAGATTAAATGGCACAAATGAAAGCCAACCCGCAGATCTACACCAGTAGGGAGTGAAGGAAACCTTTCCAACAGAGCTGTATGTCAACTAAATTCTCTCTCCCTTGTCTCTGGCCAGACATTTACAGCCCCCTCCTTTGATGACAAGATTTTGGAGGTGGTAGCAGTGTTTGGTAGCATGCAGATGGCAGTGTCACGTGTGATAAACCTACAGCATCACCGTATTGCACAGGTATCAATTTCTTCTCTGAAGTCTTCTTGCCTCCCCCATCTCCAGCTTGTGACGTTTTTGCCAGTTTCAGTCAGTAAAGCCCTCCTTTGTACTCTCTCTGGTCCGTGGAAAGAGCATCCACCAGGGCTGAAAATGGGCATGTTTGAGGGCAATTTAGGGATGGAATTGTTTGCTAGCATCCATTGTGGTAGGAGTTAGACCAGCAACTGAAATACAGATTAGTCCAAAGACACAGCAAATTGTCCCTGCTGCACAAGGGAGAGGCGTGCCCTCCCACCCAGGCACATGTGCCTCTAGTAGCACCAAAGCTACAGTACCTGGGGAAGTGTGTTGGAAAGAAAGAGAATGTCTCATGCTTTTGGAAAACCAACATTTTAGAGCTTCTCTGATGCAGTCACTTCTTGCAGTGTCGGACAGTGAAGATAGCAATCCTTGGAGAAGAGGGAGTTCCTGTGCAAGTCGATGGAGAAGCCTGGATCCAGCCTCCGGGTTATATTTGGATTGTTCATAAGAACAGGGCACAAACTCTCACTCGAGACAGGGTAAGAGGAGCCGTGCATACACTGAGTGGTACATGCATGTTTTGATGTCACGTATTCCTGGAGAGAGTGGCAATGGCCACACAAGAAAGCTTATCTTTATGAATGTAAGCAGCGTATTTTGCTGCACACCATAAAACTTTTTGGGAAGAACATGATTAAACCTTCATTCGCCACTTGGGAAATTGCATAAATAAGGTGGTTTGTGCAAGCTTATTTTGCTTCCTTTTCAGGTGCCTTGTAACAGCATTTCTTAACACACTTGCATGCTGTTTTTCCCACAGGATACCTGCTTCACTAAGTGCTGCAGATTGTCTGGATTCAGCTGTTCAATATTTTAATTTCTCATTATTGTTCAATATGTGACTTATACCTCATTGATCAAGTAAAGCAGTGTCTTCCGCCTTGTTCAGCAGTGTATGTCTGTCTCATCTCATAATTTTCGAATATATGTGATGAGTACCAGCACATAAGGAAGCGTCCTTGCCGTTTTACTGTATTACTGAATGGTAGTAAGCCAAAGGAAAGGATAAAGGCCTTGCTGTGGCACAAACAGGCTTTGTGGGTTCCTCCCAACTCTGTTAACTGTCCATGCATAAACAGTTCGGTTAATAGCAGCTCCTAATACTTTCCAGCATAATGCCCCTTTACCCAGCTTCCTGAGCAAATCGAAGTCCTCTGCAAAGGACTTACCTGCTGAATAACAAGAAAAGAGAGAACACCAAAGAGCCTGATACAGGCCTGAGGCACATTGCCTGGCAGGAAGTTACAAGTATGAGGGTATGAAAAGAAAGCCAAAGTGGGCATACAAAGCCCATGTAATGATAGGACAGGGCAATACCTGAGACCCCTTGAGCTGGGAGAGAACAGTGATCACAGAAGCATAGAATCGTTTGAGTTGGAAGGGACCTTTAAAGGTCTTCTAGTTCAACCCTCCTGCAATGAGCAGGGACATCTTCAAATAGATCAGGTTGCTCAGAGCCGCGTCCAACCTAACTTTGAATGTTTCCAGGGATGGGGCATCTATAGCCTCTCTGGGCAACCTGTGCCAGTGCCTCACCACCCTCATAGTGAAGAATTTCTTCTTTATATCTGATCTGAATCTACCCTCTTTTAGTTTAAAACCATTACCCCTTGTCCTATCACCTCTTGACATGAATGTTATGGAGAGGAGGAGACGGGAATAGTGCAGACTCTCTTTACTGGAGGGTGAGAGTGCTTCTGCAGTGTCACACTGAGACTTGGAGGGAGGGTGACTGAAGGAGAGCAGAGGGAACAGGATTCCTACTGTAAAGGTGATAGGGAGAAAAGGAGAGGCAACCTACATGCGGGTATGGTGGGAAAGGTGGAGCAAAGCACAAGAGGTAGAGAGGACACACAAGTCCCTAGTGCGTGCTGTGTGTTGGGCCATCTGAAGCCTTGGCTATGATTGCGCCATCCCACTCCTCATTGCTTGCAAACCCGGTTTTGCAGGCATGGAATTGCCACTGCGGAGGAGGTTCCAGCTTTGCAGAGCTTTTGTCTTGACTGTGGCTTATGTTTATTTTTCCTGCTGTCCTTTTGATCATCGTTGCACACGCTGTCCTTCACAGAACAAATCTGTCCTAGGCAGTAGATGAAGTGGGGTCCTCTCTTCACGTGTGTGACCCTGTACCTTTGGTAGCATTTTTCAAATGTGATTTGGGATATTTCGTTTCCTAAACTGAAGATGGAAAAACTCATATTCTCTCATGTGGCCTCATCTGGACCACTGAAGAGTCATCAGCAAGGTTGAGATCAGCGGGTAGCTTGCATTGAGCTGACAGAGCCTAGTTTTGACCTGCATGAGGAGTGGTAGGGGAAGGGAATGCTTTACCACAGGTCTTCACAGGTATTTGCAGACGCAGGAGAATGGTGTGTCCCCAGAAGCTTGGGTTGTCCTCAGAGGCACTTGTCTTGCAGTGGACACTGGCCTTTTCTGCTCCGTCTGTCTCCTTTCTCTACGCTTAGTCCTGTGTTACTTACCTAGTCTGTACTCATCTCACTTGACTGCCCAGGCCCAGAATGCGTGACTACCATTTTCTTCCCTTTTCCCACCCACCCATTATAGTTCCTGTTCTGGTTCCCTAAATGCTGATTTTTATTATTTTTTTTTTTTCCATGAAAGCTTCGCACCCCTGCTTGTTATCCTCATCATCATCTCTGAATTATTCTTCCTATTTCAAACATTCCCCTCCCATAGTCCCTTTTCTTGTCTAACCTTTCTCTCTTGCCGTTTCTTGCACTTATTGATCCATCTCTCCTTACCCTGAGGCTTTGTGTGTCAGTTTTCATTCTCTCTGTATCCAGTTTTGATCCGTCTGCATAGCATCTGTTTTGCTTCTTCCTGTACCACTAGCTGATGCCAGCAGGAAGATCAGTAAGGGTGGAAGTGGGGTAGCTCCTAGCTCTGAGTCCAGCTGCTTGTCCCACCAGTTACTGAGGAGGCCCAGTTTTCTTCAAATAAGGATGAGCCTTGAACATTTTTAATTTCCAGCTCTGAGATGTCTCAGTAATACTGAAGTGTAGAGGTGATACAGCTACTCAAAGAAAAGGCTGCCACCAGTAGGGACTTGGTGGATTTTGCTAGTCTGGCCCTCAGAATTGGCCTAGCAATTTTGACTAAAACTAGGCCTAAGCAAAAATTAAGCCAAGGAAAGCATGTGGCATGGAAAACTTCAGCCTAGATGCCTAGTCAGCAAAGTTATAAGCAGCTGAACAACCAGATCCTGCAGTGAAAAGTGTCTATACCAGATCTACATGTTTTACAGGCATAGGTACAGCCATCATTTTTTGTAGGAGCTTTGCAAGGTATTTTATAGTTTGCTTGCTGTGTTTTTAGGCATTTGAGAGCACTCTGAAGTCGTGGGAGGACAAACAGAAGTGTGAGTTGTCCCGACCCTCCTCTTTCTCTCTGCAACCAGAGATCATGTCCGAAGAAGAATCCACCCAGATCAACCAATTTGGTCAAGCTGCAGGTGCTCTGATCCACAGGTGCGACTCAATTTGCTTTTGATGAATAGAACTCTCCTTTGGTGCCTGAAGTTCCTGTCCTACTCCCTGTTCCTGGAGATGTTTCTGTTCACTCTTACCTTCTGCAGTGCTGGTCCATGTCACTGGGGGTAGCATCGCTCATTATGCACTGTCCCAGCTGCATGAGGACTGAAGTTGAATAAACTTTCTTAGGTCATTCTGAACAAAAAATATTACTTTCATGAGCAAATGTGGATCCTTTAATCCTGAAAGAACCCATTATCTTTGAATATCAGTGATTTTTATGAGAAATTAAACAAAGGCCTCTCTAGGAGCTCAAATGGCAAGTTGAGTTCTCATAACCCTGGTGCCCGGCAGAGATTTCTGGAAGAAGTCACTGTATGCTCATCTGTTCATCCTTTAGTTGGGCGTTCACCTCCTTTGTCTGGGCCTCTGAGAGAAAATTCCCAAAGTCACATCAGAGAAGTGTTAATTAAACTACCAGATGTGCAGCTGTCTTTCACATCAACATGGCCATACTAAGCAGTCTAGGTTGTATTTCAAACTGATCCCAACTTGTGTGCAGAATTGATTATGCACCTGGAGTTGTGCATGTGAAATCTGCCTTGCTTTGCCTATGCATGCTCACTACAACAGGGAGAATTGCCCTGCTTTGCCAGAGGCTGTGCCCCTACCATGCTTAATCCCTGCTCTTGTCACTCAAATGGGTATTAAAAGGAGATACCCAGTCAGAAAAGATCTCCTGCTTTGAGCATATGCTGATGCAATCTGTAATTCTCTCTTTAGCATTCGGGAAATAGCCCAATCCTATCAGGACATGGAACAGGAGCTTGCCCATGCTGTCAATGCCAGCTCCAAGTCTATGGACAAAGTCTACGCTAAATCCAAGTCTACAGAGGTACTTCGCTCACTTGGCATCTCCCATTTCATCCTTGTTCCATAGCTCTTGGTTTTCCTTTCTGATTGACCAAAAGTAGGCCTTGCTTGCCTAAGACTTCTTCCTTTTGTCTGCTCAGACCTCTGCGTTTCCAGGCTTAATTTGTGCATGAATTGCTTCCCTGCAGGGTCTGAACTGCAGCCTTGTTGTAGAGATGGTGAATAATGTCAAAGCCCTGCATAATGAGACAGAGCTGCTGCTGGCAGGCAAGATGGCGCTGGTAAGAAGCACAAAGCAGGAGTAAAGCAGCCTCTCACTTTCTCTCCTCTCCTACTGTTGCCTTGGCAAGCAACATTTTGCTGGTCTTGATCTTCTTTGTCTTTGTAGCAAGGCAGTTTAAATGTTATCATCTAGGAATTCGGATGGTGTTGCTACATAGGCGTGATGAGCAGTCAGGCTACTTGTGTGGAGTTTGGAGCTCAGGAGAGATGAGAATCGGTAACTTGGTAACGTCTGGGCAGAGTGCCTGCTGTGCACTTCCTTTTAAAAGGAGGAACTGCTTTGTTAGCTAGGGATTTCAAGGCAAGGGCCTGACGGCATGTTCCGCCATATGGCTTTTAACTCAGCTTTGCTTCCATTTCTGATCCAGCAATTAGATCCTCCACAGAAGGAGCAGCTCCAAGCAGCCCTGGCAGACATGGACCTCCAGCTGAGGAAACTGGCAGACATCCCTTGGCTGTGGCAGCTTATGGAGCCCTGTGATGAGGAGGTGAGGAGGACCAAGGCTGTATTTCCCTAGCAGTTCTCTTTTTCACTAGTTGGCTGTGAGTGTTTGACTTCCTGTGAGTATACGACTGATGTGAGAAAAAATCATTAAGAAGGAAACTTGACTCCCTGGGGTTAAAGAAGGTAAGTTCCTGCTAAGGTCCCTTGCCTGACATGGGATCAACTTTCTCTGTTTCCTTTCCTGTCTTCATCAGAATGAGTTTAGAGGGTTTATTTTTTCTCTTTTACAAGGTCCTGGAGCTGAGCTTGAAGTACTTGTTGCTCTTGGTCTGTTCCAATCAATTTATGGCTGCCTGATTTTCTCTTTTTGTTCTTACAGAACCAGATGCTGGATTATTCTAAACGCAGCCGCAGTGGCAAATTCCGCCTGGTGACCAAATTTAAAAAGGAGAAGAACAACAAAAATAAGGAGACTCATAGTAGCATGGGATTGCCGGGTACCAAGTCTGCTCATTTGATGTGTCTCTTTGACGTCAGTGTGGTCATACTGCTACCTGTTCTCTCTCTGTTTCCTCTCACGTTCTCTACTTCTTCTGTTTTGTGTGCATCTACCTTTTCTTGGAGGTCTAGTCTGTCTTTTTCATGTGGCAAAATAGCTTATTGCTCCGTTCTGTGTAAGTCATGGTCCCTCAGTACCACGCAAATATTCCTGAGCAGAAACAGGAGGTACCCTCTGAAGAATTCTGCTTGTGTCCAGACATTTCCAGAGATATTTTAGGGGGTGCTTAGTACAGTGAATTTGAGGACTTCGGCATTTTAGGTGTCAAAACGACTGCGGGGCCCAAGTCCGCGTAACTCCAGTCTTTTCACTACTAATTCTCTGTGATATGGTTAATGATGTTTTTCTCATTGATTCACCCTTAGGCTTTAATCAAGTTTCATGTCTAATTGGCTGGAGATCAGCATCACCACAGGTGCACCCTGACCTTTAATCCTACTTGTCAGTAGATAAAAACTGGCCATGAATCAACAAATTGCCATTCCAGACACTTTCTCTCCAATTGGGTTAGTTGATTTTTGGTTTATACTCTCCTCATGAAGACTTTCTTCTAAAATTCAGAAGTAGTACGTGTTCTGTGGGCTCCTGGGTCCTGTCCTCTGCCATGGAGTTGTGGGTACAGTCTCCTTCTGTCTGACAGGCTGGTGCTTATTCATTGCCTCCCAGAACTTGGGAGCTTTGTTATTCTCTTATTTAGAGGCTGCGCAAGAAGGTGGAAGTCTAAACTCTCCCTCTCTCCCTCACACTTGGGAGTGAGAGGTTGCCGTCTTGTTTACTGAGCACAAGTGCTTGTACATAATAGCAAACTACCCTGTGCTTGATTCTTCATGATACATTTTGTGAATCTCTTGTTTTGTAAACAGAGAAGTATCAATGAACTTACTCTTCTTAAATGGGGGAGGCCGTAAACTTTAAAAACCACATCCAATCCCATCAAAACAAACATGCGCTTCCTCCTGGCTTTACTGCAGCTAGCCTCTGCTTAAGAGAACACCTCTTACTTTTCTCTGCCCTACCTCCTTTGTTTGAGACTGTAGTCCTTGCCCTCCCCTTGGTTTGAGGCTGTGGTACTGCTTGCCCTCCTTCTCTTGGCACTGAGTGCGGCTGGTGTCCTCATCTCTCACTGTCTTCTGGGATTCTGGGTATTCAATGCACTCCTGCTTTTCCATCTCTAACAGTTCACCTCTGGGGAACGGAGGAGGTTGCGGCCTGGCTTGAGCACCTCAGTCTTTGTGAGTATAAGGATATCTTCATCCGGCATGACGTCCGGGGCTCTGAGCTCCTGCACCTCGAACGGAGGGACCTCAAGGTACTTTCATGATTGGCTCATGACAAATAGCCAGCTGCATCTGCATGACCTTCTGTGCTGAATGTGCTTGGAAGTGGTCTGCTCGCTGTTCATTCCACGTGCCTCAGCAAGATGAATGGGTTCATTGCGGCCTCATTTTCTCACCATTTCAGGTCACCTGATTTTTAATAGCAGGGAGGTAGAACAGCTAGTTGAGGGACCAGCTGTCCAATTCTGCCACAGCTTCCTGGAGATGTAATACAATCCAGCACACAGATTGCAGGTAGTGTTCTTGAGAGTCTCTGAATTTAATGATGGAATGGAAGTTTTCAACTTCTCAGCTGCTGTACCATCTTTGCAGAACATGCTGTGATTGGGAAAATTTGGTTCTTATGTTGTCGTGACTGGACAAATAGGTCATCGCATTCCTTTGTTACAAGAAAAGCAATTATCATGGTGTTTGATGAGGCTGCTAGATGGAGAGAATCTTTTAAAATAGTGCTTAGTAAGCACATTGCACAACTTTTCATCTCCTCACCAAGAGATGCTTTCTCTACAGAGAAAAATTGAACGTGATGGTTCTTTGCTGTGCACGAGGCTTGTGTCATCGTTCTGGTGACTTGCATATAGCAGAAAAATACTTTGTTGTGAAGTAGTGCATGGCATTTGTTGAATGCCCCCTGGATCTTCATTTGTGATTTTGACCATCTTCCTGTTCTGAGGTTTGCTGTAATCTGCGTAGCCGATTCCTCTGAATGCCATCTGGCTACAGCCTGTGTTTTGTTGCATGGTGCCTAAGTGTTCACACATTTATTTGATGTGAGTGGGTGGTTCTTCCTGCATGCTTTGGCTACTAGCTTAGGTCCTTGAGATCTGCATGCTCTTCCTGTTCTCCTGCTTTGGCCTTTAGCAGTCAAAGCAATTTGCATTTCTGGCTAATGGTCCACAGTTGTTTTCTCTCTGTTGCTCTGTGCCTGCTCTGTGTTCATTACCCTGTCATGCTCTGATAGCTTTTTTGACACATGGTTTGAGGTTCCGTATGTAACCATCAGGTTTGTAATCTTTTCTGGTTGGTTTCCTCCTCTCTTTGTAACTGGCTGACTAGTTTGTAACCATTGCTTGGCTGCCTGGAATTTCCCCCCTGCCTTTCTCCTAAGGTAAGGTTTTCTCTTTTCTTCCAGGACCTGGGTGTGACCAAAGTGGGTCACATGAAGAGGATACTGCACGGGATCAAGGAGCTGAGCCGGAGTACTCCTGCCAGCGAGGCTTAGCCTCTGTTTTCACAGCCTGTGTCTACCATTCCCCCTAACTGCACAGCAGTCACCTCGCGGAGCAGATGTGCTCACAACTGTTTCTACTGAACAGCCAAATTGTAGCTGTTCAGAGCCCATATCAGCCAAGCATGGTGCTACCATTTTTCCTGTGGGGTACGACTGCATCCGGTCGAGAGGCACCTTGTCTGCAATCAGGCAGAGCCTCCCAGAAGAGAACTCACTTGCTGTTTGAAGAACCATGTCCTCCAGCGTGGGAAGTTCTGGTTCCAGTGACAGTGCAGGACTCCTGAGAATTGCAACACAGCTACCTTTACTGGATAACTTCATCACAGTAGAATTATTCAGGGCAAAAGATATATCGGCCAGTCTTAGTTCAGGAGCATCTGACAGTCTTTGCAGACACAAAACTTTCCCGCTCATGTGTGTGTCACACCTGTATCTTAGAGCATTTAAGTGGGACAAAGCTTGTCCTTGTGTCTTACCAATCCCTTTTTAATGCACCAGTAGTTGCATGCGATTTGCATCAGAAATTCAAAGCCAGTACAGACCTCTTGCCGATGAATACCCAGTGATTCTCTCTCACTTATGCCTTGCAACAAACAATGCATATGGTTCAAACAGCGGTTCGCACCAGCTTACAGGGTCTTCCGCTGGGCCTGGCTCTCTTCTTCCAGCCAGTGGCAATGGTACAACCTTTAGGTTTTCGGGCATCACAGACAACTGTTCAGAAATTCCTGGCAGTAAAAAAAGACAAAAATCTGGAGAGCCAAAAGATTACGGGAGATCAGCTCTGACATTCCTCCTTCTGAATTGATCTTCAGGAGACCAGATGAAAGGGAGAGGAACACTAACTAGCTGTTTGGGCTGTGCGAGAAATGTAATGGAGTGAGATTTGGAACAATTTGATCCGTCTTGGTAGGGGGAGCAGCATGACTGGCAACGGCCCTGGCCACCTTCGTGGCCACAGACAACAGAGCTGTTCCTTTACTTTAACTTGCAGTGCAGAAAAGTATTTCTGTCACAAAAGATAGGATTTCTCTGTAGTACTTGCATCTCTTCACCTGTCTTGGTTCTAGTGGGTTTTGCACTTTGCTTCTCTCTCTTGCTGCCTTGCTCCTTTACTCCAGAGTGGATACCAAAAGATTAGGGTGACTCAGTCCTCCTGGGTTGTACCCGAGAGAGATACCGTGTCCTGTCAAACATCAGGGCTCCTGTAAGAGCACTGAGAGAAGGAGGATTGTTACTGAGCAGTTGAGCATCATAATGCAAACTGGAGTATGCTGGTAAATTGCCTTTGGTACCACCAGTAGTAGAGCATGAAAAAATCAGTGCCTCTGAATCAGCGTTCCTAGATGGCCTTCAAATTTCCACTGTATTGCCTGACCCCAATTGGGTGACTGTTAAAGCCTGAAGACCAACATACATAGTTATATTGCCATGCTTATCACTGCGAAGGGAATTCGGGAACATTCAGTGCTGTAAAGCTGGAGAAAAAAAGCAGGAATTTTTAATTACTTTGTCGTTTTGTATGTATTTATTTTTTTTTATTATTACAGAGTGGCACCTATCTGGCTATGGCTGCAGACAGAAAAATGGCCACATACACAGTGGCATAAAAGATAATTTCCTGAGGACATCATCATTCTTTGTTATTTGTAAGGATTTTATCAAATTGACATCAGCTCTCTAGTCTAGCAACAATCAGTCAAGTTATTTTATGTAAAGAGTTGTCAGCTTAAAAAGGTTATGGGATGATTTCATGCTGGGCAAACTCCATTGCATTCTTTAAGATTTCACCAAGGATTATTCTGACTCTGGTTTTAACTAGTTGCCCTTCACCCACGTGTTTCTGCTCAACCTAGCGAATGACAGGGTTTCCTCATAAAGTTAACAGAAGACTAAACGTGCTTGATCCAGCTAGCAAAATTTCTGGTATAAATATTGTAGGGACTGAGCAAGAAAGATGTTCAGCTTTGCCCTGAATTTGTTTCTCCTATCTATGCATTGGCAGTTGCTTCCACAGCCATATTTTTTCTTCATCACTACAACCCCCCCTCACTATGTTGAAATCACGAGGTATCGATGAGTAAGCATTATAGACATACTGTACTTTCCCACTTAACTTGTTGAGGGCACAGAGCAGCATCTGCATGAGAATGAGGAGAAACCTCCAGTAAGGAGAGCTCCAGGATGCAGCCGTCCTCGCTGGTGACAGTAAGGTACAGCCCACTGCCGGTCCCCAGGAGTGTACGTGATTAGGACGTTCGCACGCCTGCCCAGGAGAGCGCAGGAGGGAGCACAAGGCAGGTGATAACTATGGAGAAGAGGTGAGATCTGTGTTTGTTCCTGTACATGGTGAAGGAGCTGTTGTTGCTGTGAAGTTTCTCCAGGCAGCCTCATGGTTCAAGATGCATAAACAATATGCACTTGCCTTGCTTGCATAGTTCCTGGGGGATTAAATTCTTGCCTCAATAGAAACGGCTCCTCTCTGTTCTTTCTGCTCAGAGTGACAGGAGAATCCAAAGAGTTTATAGGTTCAGGTGTGTTCCTTAATCTGTGCCGTATCTGTAGAGGCCTGATGGCCATTAGCCATCTGCTGCGAGCGATGATGCCTGCACAGACCAATCTTCATTTCTTTTACTTTTATGATCTGTCGTGTTGATGGGTTCAGATCCTTTTTGTGTACGTGCACGTTTTATCAAAGAGTTGATAGCCAGTATATTCCTGTCTGTTGCTTACTAGAGGCAGGGAGGGAGTTCTACCTTCTTTTAAGAGCTAGAAAATGGGATCCCCATTTAACCTGAGTGCCTTTGAATATATATTAAGGTTTCTATCTAACAAAAGGGTCATAGCTCTATGTATCTCACTCAGACTAATGCAGATTTCTGTTGCAGAGATTTTGTGAATAGATGAGGACAAATTGTGTCAAATGTCAGTGAGAGCTATCTGCAAAGTAGGGAGCCAGGCTGAACTTCTGGCTACATTATTCCGAGTTCCTCTTCTGGCATCTGATAATTTTTTTGTAGGAGAGAAACTCAGGAAAGACAATTAGACAGTAAAAAAATCTGCTGCTTTGCCAAAAAAGAGACTCTCCTGCAGTCTCAGGTAAAACACCAGCTTGAGAGAAGCTAGAACTGCACATATCGCATGTATGTTTAGTCTCTTAAAAAAAGTGCTACTCGTGTGAAAGCCGTGCGGCACCTTCTGTTTATCACCCCTCACCCTTGGCAGTGATGCTGGGGCAATGTCTGCAGTGAGCTGGGCATACGGTTTCTTCTGCTAGGAAGAGGTTTCAGTACATTATCTCACATTCTGGCGCTGCCCTGGATATTTAGCTTTAATGGCAGATTCTGGGGAATAATGTACCCTGTGTTATGATGTTTTGGTTAAGTGGGATTGCATGCAATGGAGACTCGAGGGAGAAGCATGCTATGAAGCAGCTATCGGCGGCATCCTGCTCTGGGCTACCTTCGGGAGGGCTGTTAGCGCTAGCGCAGCCTTTCTGGTTTTGCTTGTGGGATCTTCGTGCTGAGAGCACGCGTCCCCCGCTGTGGCAGGAGCCGGCTCTTTGCAGCAGAGGGGAACTGTGATGCTTGGTGCCCAGAGGTGCTGGCCTTGACCGGGCCACCCCGAAGCCTCCAGCTCTGCCGAGGCCTTCAGTGCCAGTCCTGGGAATGTTTCTGCACCCAAATTGTATGGAAAGCTTTGTTCATTGTTTTAGTATTATTTAAAAATGTGCATACTATCTATGTGATTTAAAAAAAGACTGTTTACACGAAACATTTTGTATCTTAAGATGTGTGTACTGTAAAAAGAAAAAAAAAAAGAAAGGGTGAAAAATGATGTTTTTCTACAACTGTCAGCAGTGACTGCATGTCTGTATCATCGTCCACCGACCGTTGTTCCTCAGGGGTCTCCCCGCCGTTCCTGTGATCCTGTCAAAAGCATAGGGAAGCAACTGAATCCCTGTACAGTCTTGGGAAGAAGGTTTTGTGCCTTAAGAATGGGGCCTGCTTCCCTCCTATTTATTGTGTTAATTTATACAGTGATTATCATGGAAATGTCTCTTGTATTTTTTTTTGTACATAGTTTACTGTTGATTGTTGTAAATACGTTTTGCTTGTATATAAAGTAAACATGTTTCTGAGCTTCCAGTAAAGATTCTCTGTTACTGATTTCATTGTGTGAGAGGGCTGCAGTGCCCGTCTGGTGGGAACCAGCTAATAAAAATGTGTGCTGTGATAAAATGGCTTTATCCTGAGTTGCATCAGAAGTTCAGAGCTGTTCGTTAGAGAGGAGTGAAATGGTAAACGTGATTGTTGCAGGTTAGTTTTGTGGCACTTCTTTGCATTGGTTTAATTGGCATGGAGCAGAAGACATCATGTAGTTTATTTTTATTAGCTATATCTCCGCAGTGAGCAAGAGAAGAGACATTTTAAACATAATGGTTCTACTGCTGTTCATCCTGATCATAGCTCCACTGTCTGCAAACCCACAGCTAGATGGGAAGACACTCTCAGAAACTCAGCCAGGGTGTTTGTTAGTTACTTCCATGTGCTCGTAGACCTCTCATCGGGTGGGGTGGTGTGACCACGTCTTCCCAGTCATGGTGGGGCAGTGCCCTGATGAGAGGGGAGCGGTCATGTCTCTACTCTGCTTGGGCCTCTGTGCATTCAGTTTGTTGCCGGTGATATATACAGTAACTGGAAGAAGTGACAGTGTGTTTACAAAAATGTGGTGAGAAATTCATTTTCTCATGAAATAAAGAAATTGACTGTCATAAAATAACACCTGTAAACTTGAAACTAAAAGATTTGGAGATGTTTGGGTGAGCAGTCCATGGATCAGATTGTGACGAGCTTTCTCTTCTGTCTGTACAGATTGATGTGTTCATAAGATGCTGACAAGAAACTTTGGCAGATTTAAACTGAGAGGATGGTTGTAGAATTCCGTAGTTGTTGCAAAGTAAATGGAAAGTAACTTTTAATGGTCGTGAATATTTTCTATGTGACAAAGACCTTCCTACTTGATAGTTAAACTGAAGGAATTACTTTGTGTGGAGAGAGTAGTTTATGTGATGGGAACATAAGAAACCATACTAATGTTATATACTGTTGCAAGATGAAAATGGTAAAATTGATCATTAAAATGTTAGTTACCTAGTTCTAGTAGTAAAGAGGAAAGAAAAATTTTGCATTTGCTCACAGACTCCCTGGACTTGAGTGTCAGGCTCTGTATTAAGTAGCACTACAGGAAACGTCAAAGAAGACAGCAGCAGAGAGACAGATACACTTTCTTCTCTGATACAGGTAATTCATTTTAATCTCTTTTTAATTTATGTGGCAGAAGTCAATAGCAAGAAACTCTTTGCCCCACTCAGTGTATCATTACTGGGGTATCAGACCTCTTTCTCAGGGCTGCCATCCTCTTGGTTGGATTAATAACTACTTAATGGATCTTGGAAGGGTGGAGTGGGTTGGGAGGGTGGTGTGCTGTGAAGACCTTGAAGTACCAATGAGGTTTTTTAACAAAAATGTGTTCTGCTGGTGTTTCCCTTGTCCTAAGTGTTGTTGAGTTAGCAGGTTTTATGTGTTTGGGTTTTTTAATACAGTGTAAAGCGTCGGGAGAGTTGAGGAGAAGTTGAGGAGATCTGCTCCCACTGAATGGGCAGCACTGCAGACGAACAGGTTTAGAAGAAGCCGTGTCATTCCTTACCTGTAAAGCAGCTTCAGAATCATAAGGTAAATTCCTTCTTTGGTTGCTGTGTGCCTGGTTGGGATGAATAACTGTGCGACCACCAGCTGGGCATCGAGCAGCTTGAAATGCTTAATTCTCACGTGGGCAGAGTGAAAAGGTTCTGAGACGGTGAAAAGTGACATTTTGTGTTAGTAAGAGCTAAAAGATAGCGGCAGTTCTCTAGCAACTTCTGTCTGAAGAGTTCCAGCATTGTGCTGGCTTACCAAATGACCTAGAAGGTAGTAAGTCTTTGTCTTCACAAGAAAGGAAGAGGTGGGGGAGTTTGCATATGACCTAAAAGATACACCACTTCTGTTGACATCAGGGTACAATACGAGCCAGTTGTGGCCTGTGGCTTTTCCTCAGGGGACGAGGGAAGGCGGTGACTGCAGGCCTTTCGTCCTTCATTATCAGTAGGTTGGCTGATGGGCTGCACTGCTGACAGGCAGAGGTAGAACAAGTGGTAGGTCTCCCTTTTGTTACAGGCTGTGCACACCTGCAGCCTCAGGCGGGAGCGAGCAGATACCAGCCAGGGAAGTAACAGGCTAGGGGGGGACTGTCACCGGAGCAGCATGCTCGCTGCACAGGTCATCAGATTCCTCTTGCTCCCATGTTGCAAAGTGGATTCACAGCAGCACTTCCCAGCGGCCTGCGGAGGACGTGCTCCCTACCACGTCGGCTCTCCACAGAGGTGTTTCTGTCTTCCTGGCAATGTGTGCCTGTGCTCATGTGTGAACGGTGCAAAACCTTGGCCTCCAAGGACCTTTTCTTTTAAGGGGAGCAGCCTGAGGTGACTAATATTTCAGCTTGGTTTCCTTAGGGAAGCAAGAGCGGTCTGGTTTGTCTGGTGTTGCGTGTGTCAGGCTGTCTTTCCCCTTTTAATGCCTGTTTGGAACTGACTTGTCTCATTTCAGATAGTTCACGGGAAGAGATGTCTCGCAGAACATTACTTTTCTACAAGTCTTGGAAGAAATCAGTGCTCAGGATAACAGTGCTCTGGCAGGGAGAGGCTCCAATGTGCATATAGCAAGTAGGCTTAGTGCTTTTAGTGCTCAGTGAATTACTCCCATTTGTTACAAATTAAAAGCTGTTATGGTGAAGTAGGAAGAGCTGATAGATGCAACACAAGATTGATTGCTGAAGAGCTGTGATTTTGAGGCCTTGTAGCTTTGCCGCCCCTCTATCGAAATTTACATCTGTCTAATTTATTTAGTTTTGGGGAATTTACATTTTAAATTACAATTTCAATTTGGAAAAATTCGAAAGGAGTGATTCAACACTCCTGACTAAGAAGCTAAAGGCTAAAAACACATTTGAGAGTTTTCCAGAAGCTTTCTTGTAGAAGGGGCAAAACAAAAGCATTTGGCTTTTTTATACACAGGGGAAACAAGAAGAACAAAATGTGCAGTCTGCTGTGCTC